TCCTTAGAAAAATATCCAAATTGGGTCACCCTGCCAAACTGCCTCCAGTAGAGCCTTCTGACCTCCTAAATTCACTAACACAATGCATCTGCCTTCCTTCAGAACAATATTGACCGTTGAATGTAGTCTCATCTCTTGGGCTGGTGGCAAGAGGTGTGAGGCAGATGGGCCTGGTGAAGGGAAAAGGAAGCCCGGGAGGGGAAACGAGGTGTGCCAGGGAAGACGGGGAAGACAGGGAAGCTGGAGAAGAGCCAGGCCATGCCTGGGAGGGAGAGGTCCCTCCTGAAGTGGAGGAGTCTCAGAGACAGAGACATCTGAATGGAGATGCTAGAAGGTTGGAGATGATAGAGATCTGGAGCTCACCTGAGAGTCTGTCATGGGGACAGAACTTTGAAATTATTGATAGTGATTCTCTAGATGATTGTTAAACTGGGCGGGGGGGGGGGGAGAAGGATGACCTTGCCTGTGAGGGAATACATAGAAGAGGGAAGAAGCTCTGGTAAGCCAGCACTTAAGGCTGAAGAGAAGATGAAGAAAGAAGAGTGAGCAGGAGTTGCCAGAGAACAAGAGGAAAACCTAGAGTGTGGTATCACAGAAACAGGTTTCTGGGAGGAACAATGCCCACCATGGTCAACAATTGCTAAGGATGAGGTAGGTGGGGGCAGACATCCTTCAGATGAACAGCCCGGAGGTAACTGATGACCCCAGGGAGGCTTGTTTATGAGAGAGTGGGACTGTCGCAGCAATCAGACTTAAGTGGCCCAGGAAGTGGGAGGTGAGGACACAGACCGTGTCACAGAAGTTGAGCAGTAAAGGAGAGAAAACAGAGCAGGGCTCAAGGGTGGAGGCACAACCTTCCCCGTGCTGTCACAGAGGAATGCTCCCTCCCTCCACAGGTCCCCTATGACAGCCAGCGCACGGGCACCACTGTCATTCTGTGCTGTCCTGAAAGGCAAGGGGGAACTGCATTTATGTGCAGTCCTCAGGGATCTAACACACAGCCGGAACTCAACAAACAGTAGATGCTTTTCATGATGAGAGTGACGATGACAACGATGAAGACAAGGATGAAAAACACAGACTCTTGTAGATCAGAAAGTCTCCTATTTGGGGAATTAAAAGAACAGACTCCCTAAGAAGCCTCACTGGTAACAGTGGCTCTGTCTCTGGGCATTCCTCCTTAGTCTCATGTGCTGGCTCCTCTTTTTTGTCGTGAGTTCTTTATCTATATACTCAAACCTCTGGGCGAGCTCATCCAACCTCATGGCTTTAAATCCCATCTACACGCCCTCTTCCAAATTTATACCACAAGCCCTGACTGCTCTCCCAAACCCCAGACTCACACATAACCACCTGTGTACCTGGCATCTTGACTAGGGGGTCTAATTAGACATCTCAAGTCCAACATGTCCAAAACCCAACTCCTGATCTTTTCCTCCTTTAGTTACATAGGCCAAGAATTTCACAGTTTTGGGGTGCCTGGCTGGCTCACTTGGTAGAGCATGCGACTCTTGATCTCAGGGTTGTGAGTTCAAGCCCCATGTTGGGTGTACAGATTACTTAAAAATAAAAGGACAATTTAAAAAAAGGAATTTCCTAGTTTTGGCTCTCATTCCTTCAAGAATGATACCCATTCCTTCATGAAACCTTATCCTATTGGTTCTATCTTCAAAATATATCCAGAATATGACTACTTCTCACCACCTCTACTGCTCAGCCAGGTATAAGCCACCGTCAATCTGCTACCTGGACACCTGCAATGGTCCTCCCAACTGGCCACCCTGCTCTGCACTTGTCTCATTCACTTTGTTATCAACATGTAGGTCATATCAAGTCACTCCTCTGCTCCAGTGGCTCCCCATGTTCCTCAAAGTACAAGCTCAATCATTCCAATGACCTACAAGGCTTCTCATGATTTTGTTCCCACTCTGATGTCCTGTGCTACTTCTCTACCACTCCTCACACTCTGCTCTAACCACACTAGCTTCCTTGCTATTCCCCCATCAGTCATGCTCCAGTGCATGCACGGATGCATTTCCGATGTATGGATTTTTTTCCCCACACCAACAATGAGTTCTAGCTGGGTGTCCTATAATTCAACTCAATTCGGACACTACCCACATGGTCATCAGTTCCCACAGGTTAAAGGCTCAATCCCACAAAACTGCGACCCCACCCCTCCACCCCCACTTCAGCTGCCCATCACAAGTCTAGATTGTCACAGGGGCTTCTGACTAACAGGCCCAGATGGAAGGTTCCCATGAGCACCTCCTCCTCGGGTTTGATTAATTTGCTAGAGAGGTTCACAGAAATGAAGGAAACGTTTTACTTACTAGATTGTCAGTTTATTACAAGAGGATATAATTCAGGAACAGACAGATGAAAGAGATGCCAGGGCAAGGTATGAGGAAAGAATGCAGAGCTTCCATGCCCTCTCCAAGCGCACCACCCTCCCTCAATCTCCACATGCTCGCCAACCCAGAAGATCTCTGAACCCAGTCCTTCTGGTTTTTTGTTTTAAAGATTTTACTTATTTATTTGACAGAGAGAGACACAGCGAGAGAGGGAACACAAGCAGGGGGAGTGGGAGAGGGAGAAGCAGGCTTCCCACTGGGCAGGGAGCCCGATGTGGGGCTCGATCCCAGGACGCTGGGATCATGACCTGAGCCGAAGGCAGACACCCTAATGACTGAGCCACCCAGGCGCCCCTCCCTTTGGGTTTTGTGGAGGCTTTATTACACAGGCATGATTGATTAAATCACTGGCCATTGGTGACAGAACTCAATCTCCAGCCCCCTCCCCTCCTCTGAGGCCCACTGGCAACCAGCCCCCATCCTTAGTGCTTTCCAAAAGTGGCCTCATGCAGATAACAAAAGAAACCTTTATCACTCTCATTGTAGGAAAGTCCAAGGGCTTTAGCAGCTCTGTGCCAGGACAGGGGACACCAAATACATATTTCTGACGATAAATCACAGTATCGCAGATGCTCCCACTGTAAGCCTTTGCACTAGCTCTAGCTGGCCCCTGTGGGGAACCCTCCTCCCTCAGCAGTCCACACGGCTAAGGTGTCTCCATCCTCAATAGGCCTTTGCTCAGATCTTACCTCCTCAATGAGGCCAGCTCTGACCACCCTACTTAATACTGCAAACCTATCCCCTCACCTATATTCCAGATCTCCATTAGCCAGCTTCACTTTTCCCTAAAACACTTATTTTCTAACAGAATGAATGACTTATTTAGTATCTTAATTGTTTATCATCTGCCCACCCTCCCCCACATATTGTAAGTTCCATGACGACAGGGAATCTTAGTTTTGTTAACTGAGTGTACCTAACGCAGTGCCTGGTACAAAGTAGGTGCTCAGTAAATACTTGAATGAACGACCTCTTGCCAGATGCTCTGTCCTTTTAGCTCCTTGACCTTCATCTAAGCAAAATGTAGAATATACGTTACTGTTAACAGTGAGAATTAAAATCATTTATGGAACATCCTCCAAAAACTATATAGGTGGACTTTGTACATTTGTATGGCCTTTTGTTTTAAAGTCTGGTATCTGAAAAAAAAAAAATCCATAAGAACATTCCATGTGGACTGATGGAGAGTGCTAAACACAGCAAGATCATAGAGCAAATGTGAACACTGCCCCCTCACGGATGAACATGGCGGTGGCTGCTTCTGCCCAGCCAGCCCACTTGGGGATCATTTTGAATCCTGGTGGCTGGCTGATTGGGGCTGCAAGATATAATGCTGTTGATGGCACTTCAAATTCAACCTATTTGCAGAAGGAAACAAGTTAAAGAAGAATAAAGTCAAAGGGAGATTTTTTTAAGGAGTACAGAGCCCACACATTCCCATATTGTAAGGAGGATGTTGACAATTAGTGGGAAGTAGTAAAGAAAAATGTTAAGACAAGAAAATCCTAAATTGATAACATCCATCTGCTGCACTTACAGCTGGAATCTGAGTGGGAATTTCCCATCTGTGCTTTATTCTCAGCTTTAATTTGACTATAAATAAGACATATGCATACACATTTTGCACTGTCTTCTGAGTCCAGAAATTGTTTAAGAATGATATCTATATAGAAGTGTGTGTGTACAAGTACACACAAACACACAGACACACACACACACTTTAACTTAGAACCTGCTCATTAAACTAGTCAAAGGTGTACAGCCAATCTCTCACACACTTGGTCCCATGACAATCCGGACTTTTTAACTGAAGCCGTAACTGTTCACACCCTCCCTCTGCTCAAGCTGATCTAACAGAACTTCCGACGCCCAGGCCAGCTTTCACTAAAGCCCATTCGCTGCAGGAAACCTCAGGGCCCAGAGTCCTGGAGGGGGCCCCATTTGGGAAGCCCACTGTCCAGTCAGACAGAAGCTGCACTTGTTACTGTACATTCTTGTTTGATTCTCCTATTGACTCTACAAATGACTGTATGGACTATCATCCCCACTTTACAGGTGGGGAAACTGAGGCTCAGTGACAAAAGGTAACCTGCCCATGGTCACATGGTCCCTTAGTAGTAAAGCCAAGACTCAAAACCAAGGTTCAAAGTCCATGTTCTTTCCACTTTCCCCTCTGCCTCCACATTACACCTCCCAGGGCCTCTGGGGCTATAAATAGTGGGGAGGCTGGGATTTCATGAGGCCAGCCAGTCCTACAGCACAAGGAGACACTAACATCTCCCAGCCTGAGCCCTAGTATCCCCCAGGCCTCAACAGAACTCAGGCCCAGACAGGCCTCAGCTTATCACTAGGCTCACTCTCATGGTTATATTTAGCTCTGGACCTCAAAGAGAAAGACATGGGCCAGCCCCCAAGACACGGCACACCCCCAGGCCAGGCCCACCACTGTACATAGAAAGAGAAGGATGTCTGCCTGAGCCTTTTCAGATGTGGTGTCAGCCACCTCCCGTGGGGGCTTTTTGTAACTTGCTTTTTTAGAGCCTATGAGATCTTGTTCTTCTTGCTCCCTGAGGGAGGAACCACAGCTGCTTTACCAAGTATTTGTAACGGTCAGCAACGTCTATAATACATTGCATGTGGCTGTTGCTTAATAATCCTTTGTTGAATAAACAAATAAATGATCTTAAGTTGATGTTCTAGAAATCTGGACATCAAAAACAGGACACAAATTCCCAGAAGGATACATTATAAATCCACATGCATTTCATTCTATTAAATAGAGTCAAGTTTATTCAAGGAATGGGCCTTAGTTTTCCTTATCCTTCTCCCCACTTCTCTCTTCCTTCCGCCAGATCTGGCATTAAGGCTACAGCAGGAGAAGGGGAGAGAGGAGGATCCAATCCTGAAGGCTGGCCTCTGCATGCCCCATGTGACAGCCACACACACTGTGTGATGGCTCCTGGAGTCCCTGTGTCCTGCAGGTGTCCTGATGACAGGACTCCCCTTGCTCTACTCACCCTTCATAGGCTAACCAGCTGCCTACAGAAAGCTGGGAGGCTGGGTCTGCAATCCACCTGCTGAGCAAGTGGAGCAGGCCACAGAGGTGTGCAATGGTTTGGCAGCTGGGGCCAGAGCTCAGGAGCATGGACAGATCCTGACACTGGAGCTTAAAGGGCAAAAGCTGGTAATTCTAGATCTTACAAAAATGGAAAGAGCCGCTTTTTTACAATATAGAGGACCGTAGCAAGGAAAAGGGCCAGGGCAAGGAAAATGAGAAGCTTGTCCGTCAGCTCTCGGCGATTATATTTTGTGATAAGCTTCCGTCCCAACTGGATGGTCCCTGACATGGACTTAAACTCTTCATTTGCATCCAGGATAGTCCGGGAAGAATTGGCTGAAACAAAAGAGGGAGGGAGCCTGACTCAGAGACTGTAGAGCACCAAATCCAAAGACTTTGCTCTGCTGGCTGGGTTACCAGCAAATAACACTGCACTTTGCAGCAAGTTCCCCTCGGCCATAAGCAAAAATGTGAGCAGAGACAAACAGAGGAGCAACAAACAAGGATATTATAAGGAAAGTACCTCCCTAGGTCCTATTCAGCTCAGAGTGATGTGGTTTGTTTATATACAATGTCACAGGGCCACAACTAGGCATTCTCCAATGTGCATATCACCAGGGAAAAAGAAGAGAGTTCCTTCCAAAGCAGGCAAGTGCTGGTGAGAAGAAGCACCAGCCCCAAAACGAACCCGGGCGATTGTGACCAGGCACTATGAGGTCTTTTGGGGGGCAGAAGCTAGGAGTTCCCAAGACTTTCCACCTGAGGTGCACCCTGCCAAGACCCCTGAGAGTCAGATCTGCTCTCGGTGGGATCCTAACAAGTTGGGCTGGGCCCTGCCACCAGCCCCCCCCCACACCAGTTCTTCAGTCCTGGGACACTGCCGTGGCTTTAAAGACGTCACACCTATGCTCTGGCCACTGTATGAAATCTAAAGGGAGGTACCTGTGCCTTAAGGCTCACTGTGCCTAGGAGTCAAATGTACTTCTGAGTATGGGTATTTGAGCCTGACACCTGGGTAAGAAGGTCTACCTGGCAAGATTCTCCCCCAAAGCCTAACATCATCAGAACATCCACAGAATAAAACGTGCTGTTAAGTGGAAAAGTGAGGTGTGAAAGAGCGTATGTGAAAATTTCCATTTATGTAAGAGAGCAGGGGATAAACAATACTTAATTTGCTTGTGCTATACGTGCTTGGAGGCGCTGAGGAGGACATAAAAGAAACTGGTAACAGTGGTTGCCCTTGGGGAGTAGACCTGATGGCCAGAGGTCAGAGGGAGGTCAGAAGAGAGAGCTATCTTTTTACTTCTCTCTTGTACTGTCCAATATGGCAGCCCCTAGACACACGTGATACTTGAGCATGTATATGTGGCTAAACCAAACTGAGATGTCCCTAGGTGTAAAACACACACACGATTTCCAAGACTTAGTATGAGAAAAAGGAAGGTAAAATATCTCAATAGTTTTTGACATTACATATTGAAATGGTAATATTTTATATGTATTGGGTTAAATAGATTCATAGGTTTCTTTTTACCTTTTTTAATGTGCCTCCTGAAAAATTTAAAGTTAAATATGTGGCTCACATTCTATTTCTATTGGACCATGCAGGCCTAGAGGTTTTTTTCTTAACCATGTAATGCATATTACTTTTTCATAAAATTAAAAGTCAATGAGTAAGTAAAAGAAATTACCAGAGGAAACAGAGCAGCGTTTCTATAAAGACAGATGCAGGGGAAAAATAAAACACTCAGACAACAAAAATCCCTCTCTTGGCCCTTTCTCCATGCCTACCTCCATCCCAAAAACCTAAGAGTCAGTTCAAAATAATCTAACAGGCCTTTCTTTAAACTTCGTATGATAGATAATTTTCAAGCATCACCAAAGTAGAGAGAATAGTATCATGAAATGTCCTATGCCCATCACCCATACCCAAGAACCACCAACTCCCTGGTGCCCCTGTTCCCATACCACCCCACCCAATTCCAGCAAATTCCAGACATTATATCCCTCACATGCTTTTTTTTTTTAAAAACTTGTAGCCCTATTGGGCTCTTAAATCAAGCTGAATTTGTGAGCTGTAAGGAAAGGATTAAGAATTGCATTCTTCTTTCTTCAATAGTTTTCTCTCCTACAAAATGGGCCCTAAGAACAGCCCTCAACACCCCAGAAGCCATCAGCATCTGTGCACCCTCCTCACCACTTAACTATCTCATCTGTTTCTGATGTGTGTATAAACTGTGTGTGTATGGGGAGGCGTCCTGTCACCTGCATCAAAGCAGAAAAGCCCTCCACTCAAAGGCCAGGTGGCTTCCTATTTTGCATGTTCTCCCAGGTCTCTCCCAAGGCTTGAGCCCCGCCCCCAGCACGCATGTAGCAGAGGTGACTGGCTGGTTCTGAGCCTAAATGCCCAGATAAGTTTCAAACACAGGGACTGACCTTGGGGACAAGTTGCTTGCTTTGCTTTTCCTTCCACCTGTTTGAATAGTGCACAGAAAAAAAAGCGGCTCAAAATTATAGATACTTTTTAAGAGTGATAATGGTATTGTGGTTTGGTTTTGTTTGTTTTTTGTTTCAAGAGTCTCTTATCTTTTAGAGAGACATATTGAGGTATTTTTAGATGATGTCTGTGATTTGCTTTGAAATAATCCAGATGGAGGCCCAGGAAGTGTGGAGCTGAAACGAGACTGGCCATGAGCTGACAAGTGCATACCACACTCTCTGCTTTAGTCTCTGTGAAATCTTCCACAACTGTCTCAAACAGTAAACTCTCTCCTCGTTTTCCTATACAGAGGACCCTGAAGAGGGCCAATTCTCTTCTACGTTACAAGGGAGACACCATGGGAAAGCTGCTAGAGAAACCAGACGCTCAAGTGGCTTCTGTTGTGGCCTCTGATGGTATCTTTTAAAAGGAGCTCATGGTAAAAATAACACTGGAGAGTATAATTGTAAGCTGAGGCCCTAGGAGACCGACCAGCAGCCGATATACTAAACATCTCCTCAAGCAATGATTCCCCAACCTGCCTGGCCACATGGGTCCACAGAACTCCAGAGAAAAAAAGGGACTGCCAGGCCCCTCCCCCAGTCCTACTGGCACCCACTCTCCAGGAGAAGACCTGGGGATCTCTGCTTTTCACAGGAGACCCTGGGAGTGCTTCTGCCAGGGAAACATTTCGAGAGGGGTGTGCAGATCTTCTTAGTGCAGCTATAAAAACCAAGAAGAGAAGTAGGAGCAACCTGCCCCACTCCAGGCAGCACCGAACTGCCGAGGCCGCACGAGTCAGCAAGCTCGGAAGGGAGGGCAGGGGAGGGGGCAAAGGTGGAAGAGGCTGGTGGCAGGTGCCAGGGCAAGGGCTCTGGGGCTGGAGTCTCTGGGAGAAGCTTCTAACTCCAGGTCCGGCTTTACCTAGAGTCTGCATGGCTTCCTCGCTCTGCTGGACCTGCTGGGACATCATCCTGCTGATCCCCATGAGGCTCTCCGTGATGGCACTGGACGTCTGGGCCAGGCTCTCTTTGGTGGTTTTCCTAAAAGTCCAGAGTGACAGGAGGCTTGTTGACATCGACATCCCATCGTCAAATGAGATCCCATTTTTTTAATCTATCAAAATAAAATCTATTTAAATATCAATGATCATAGTCAACACCGGCAAGGGTACACTGACACCACACTCCTGAAGACTGCTAGTAGGAATGCAAACTGCTGCTACCTTCTGTAAAGCAATTTGGCAATACGTATTAGGAGCCTTAGAAACATTTAGGTCTTTGGCCCAATAATCTCATCCCTGGGAAACTCTCCAAAGGAAATATCCAAAATGTGGACAAAGCCTTATGTCCTGGGATGTGGCCTTGTGTATTATTTATAGTACAAACTAGAAATGTAAACACCCACAAACAGGGGATTAGCTAATGCAGGGGAATACTATGTACTCTTAAACTTTTGTTTAAAGAGTTTCTAAAGCAACAAGCAAGTCTTTGTGCTATAATACTATGTGAAGAAGAGCAGGGCAATAAGTTTTATATACAGTATGATTCAGACTTTGTGGAAAAAAAAATGGTGGGAGGAGGCAATATATCAAAATGTGTGCAACACAATGACAGTATGGTTTCATTTTGTCATTAATATTTTTATTTTACCAATTTATTACAAATAAGCATGTATTTCTTTCATACTTTAAAAAATATTACCTATATAATAAAATTAAGTACCAGTTTTACATTGAAAACAAGAAGGGGTTCCTTACGTGGGTTTTGCACCTTGCCAATTGCTATCTGTTCTATCTTCAGGGCCCAGAAAGACAAAAAGACAGATACCTTTGCCTTAAGAGGTCTCCTCCCTGGAGAAGTTCTGCTTTCTCTAGATTGTCGATAGCAATTTTGCAAGTGAGATTAGCCTTCCTCCATGAGGTCTGATTGCTGGAATCAAAAGGGTCTTGCATGAGTTTCTGTCAGATCAAGTCACAGCAGTTCTTCCTTCTGGCAAGGGAGTGATGGGGAAGGCCACCCAGGAGTGGCCCACAGAGTCCATCTCCACCACCTGCCATTTCCACTTCTTGGTTGCCCCAGCAACTGTTCCAGCTCAGGCCACAACACCTCTGGTCTGGACCCTGGAGGCTGCCTCTGGGACATTCTCCTACTGCCCTACTGCCTGTAACTGTCCCTTTCCCTCCAGGGCAGCCAGAGGGAGCAGTCTGGCCACAGCACTTCTGTGTTGACGGCCCGCAATGGCTTCAGACTTCAAACTCACCGTGGGCGCACGAGGCCCTGTTCTGTCAAGTTATCTCTAACATTTTACTGCTCTTTGCCTCGTGTACTGGTTGGTTCCATTTCTTGAGAACCATGTCTTACTCATCTCTGGATCACCAGTACCTAGAACAACAGTTTCTGGCCCATTAGCCAATCAATAGGTATTATGAGAAGTAGAAAAATCATAGAAAGGCAGTTTTCCTCAATATTTCTTTTCTTTTTAAAGTTTTATTTAAGTTTTTCTCGTTTTTTTGAGAGAGAGCACGCCTGAGAGTGAGAGAGCAGGGGGAGAGGCAGAGGGAGAGAGAGAAAAAAATCTCAAGCAGGCTCCATGCTCAGTGCAGAACCTGACACAGGGCTTGATCCCAGAGCCCTGAGATCATGACCTGAGCCAAAATCAAGAGTTGGTCGCTCAACCGACTGAGCCAACCAGGCACCCCTAAGTTTTTATTTAAATTCCAGTCGGATAACATACACTGTAATATTAGTTTCAGGTGTACAATGTAGTGATTCAGCACTTCGGTTTTGCTGAATATTTCTTTAAGATTTGCTGTTCTTTACACAGCCAGAACAATCATGAACAAGAGAAACACAATGTATTAGCAGGGCCCAGTTTGATGTGATTTACTTACATTCTTTACCCGATCTCCCTTATGAGAGACACCTCAAATTTGGTGAACAGCTCCCTGGGGAGTGCAGCTTTTGTCAATGGACTATACAAATGTTAATTGGGCCCCTCAGAGAATCAAACTCAAGCACTAGAACTCTTAGGCAGCTGGTTCACAGCAACTGTGCTAACCCCTGAGATATGTACAAAGTCAAACACAGGGCACATGAAATGATAGGGTGTTTTTCTAAGAGCACCTCTGTGCTTAAAACATTAAAATGAGCTCTCTGCCACCGGAACAGCATCTACTATGCCATTTCACACCTGGTATTTAAAAAGAATCAATTACATTTTCGAACTATTAGCAAGGGGGTTCTGCTGGGCCTTGTGACACAGAGATAAGTGAGCTGCAGTGGCTGCCCTCAAGGGGCTCACATTTACTGGGGAGAAAGACAAGCAAACAAATATTTGCTGAATGGTGTGATAAGCACGATAACCCAGGCAAGCACAACCAGTTTTCACACACAACTGCCGAAGTATTCATTTACTGCTTTCTCTCTCTCCCCTGTAACTCCACATCGTGAATGGCCATTCTCAACTTTAAACCCATGCTAAGCCCATCTTATCTGGTGTAACTTACTATGCTTTATACAAGGGGTCCTCTTGACTCAGTGTTCATAATCTGAGTATCCTTGGTGGCCGAGGGAAGCAAATGCCATCACGACACAAAATATTATGACTGAGCCATGCACTTTAACACTGGTCACCACTCACACATCCCTCCCTACTTACACTAGCCACCGCCATGCCCACATCTTTGTCAGTCTCCTCCTGTTGCTGGGTGTTCTAAACACAGCTGCTGTCAGCAAGGATGATGCTGGAGAATTATTCAAATCAGAAGCAAGGCCACAGACAAATACAGGTATGGCAGAGTTAGAGTAATTAACAAGGATGAAGGGAACACCCAGGAGGATGATGACTAGCAGGGGCTTCAAACGAGAATGACCTGGCTACCAGAGGATTGGAAGAGTTGATGGAGTCCTCAAATATTTCTGCCACGACAAACCTCTTTATGATTATGATACAAAAGTCAAATGTGAAGGGACAGGTACTGTTTCATGCCATCAGACAATTTTGTTGGCAAGTCCCCCAGCTCAATACCCAGAAATAGCACATACTTCAATTATATAATCAAAGGTTAGCACACAGTTACAATGATGACCACCATTTTATTTAACGTAACATAACCTTATTTACATTTTGGGGGGTTTCGTTTTTTAAGATAAAGTCCCATTCAAAGCTTTCTAAATTTTGGTCCCTCCTAAGTAGGACTTTCTCTGGTAATGATTACACTTAAAGAAAAAGGACCCTGTGTTACAAAAGCAACCATTTTTTGGTTTTGTCTTAAAAATATAAAATACAGTATAATGGTAAATATGCTTTTGTAAACTATACACAATTTGACCTACCAACAACCCCTGCTGGCCCCTGCTTTGAGAACTACTGATCTAGAGAGGACGTTCAGTCTGTGTAGAAATGACACAATTAAATCATTAAGCCAGGTTTGTTAGGCAAACCCTTGTACAAGCCTCCCAAGGAGCAAGTGACCCAGCACAGGCCCCACCTACCTGAGCATCTGCTTTTTGTGATTCTCCACTTCCTGGAGCAGAACTTGCTTCTCCGACTCTTTGTCTTGCTCTTTAGCTGACTGCTCAAGCTCCTTTGGGGGAAAAGAGCTCTATATTAAAATGATTTTAAAAGCCAATATAAAAACCAAAGAGCACTTCTCTTTCTAGGCAGGTTATACAATAGCACTTGAAAACCCTCCTAAAAGAGAACACTTAGGAATGCCAGGTAACAGAGAACAAACATCCTTATAAATATATAGCTGACTTGCAAGAAAGTAGGGATAATCCCCAGGGCCCCAAGGAGAGAAGGGAACTAAGAGCCAGAGCGGTCAACCTGTGAGTGATGCATGTCCCACTTGGAGATATCACGGAAATATCAAACTGCTACACGTCTAAATGCTCACTCTCATTCCCTGTACCTATTTCATTATTGACCGGTAGCAAACAATTTGAAGGTTTCACTGGGTGCCCATATTTTTTTTTTTTAAAGATTTTATTTATTTGTCAGAGAGAGATGGTGAGAGCAGGAACACAAGCAGGGAGTGGGAGAGGGAGAAGCAGGCTTCCCCCCTGCCTATCAGGGAGCCCGATGCGGAGCTCGATCCCAGGACCCTGGGATCAAGACCTGAGCCGAAGGCAGGTGCTTAACGACTGAGCCACCCAGGCACCCCACTATGTGCCCATATTTACAAACATACATATATATATATGTTTGTAATTTATATATATATAAAACATATGAAAGTAATAGCCTTTCAAAAATAAAAAATTAAATGATTAAATCAGTGCTAGAGATGGAGGCAAAAAGATCAGGTTCAGTGACATTGTTAAAATTCTAAAGTGAATTTTTATGACAAAAACTGCTTATTTTCACAATTGCCTTGAAAATCCCTTAGGAAGACAACACACAGGACCCAGACATACTATTTCCGAATAGCCAGTTTTTCTTCCAGCTTTGGAAATAGACTGTCTTCTGTTAAACAACAAGGTTGTTGGCTGGCATCTGGGGCCACGTCACAGGAAAAGCACGGGTCTTTAAATCCCAGGACCACATGCAGTGAGACCGGGTGCCCCCAGACCCACTCAGGGATGGGCAGACCCATGCACCCATCTTACTCACTAGGGCACAGCAGCAGAAACAGGCTATGCAAATGGATACTTCTCACTCCGGTGGTTTTTGAGATAGCACATACACCTTAGTTGGATTCGGGAGTGCTATATGCATATGAAGTGACTGGAGACCTCAGAAACACGGAGGAAGATGCTAGGCAAAGCAGAGCATGAAAAAAACCCCAGGAGACACTGACAATGCATTCAAAAGTTCCTTACTTTTACCTTGAGAGCATGGAAGTACAGTTACCCTCACTGTCCAAACGTTTACTAAAAAAAAAAAAAAAAAGAACCTGGACAGCTCTCAAGCGAAGGTTACTCCCGAGACGGAGCCTCCTCATTGTTACCCAATCTCCCCACATTTCAGCTCTGCAGCTACTCACCTGTATTCTGTGCCGCAACTGCTGAAACTTCTCTTTCACTTTAGTATTCAGTTCAGTAAGTGCACTTAATGGTCCTGAACAATCTCGAATATCCTAGGAGACACTGAAGAGGTGAGAGGGCCTTTCTCGAGGCAATGAAATGAAATGATACCATCTGTACAATGACAGAATTGGCTTAGACCACAACTAAGGCTGGCCTACTGACTATAATTCATCCTGATCTTTGCAGCTTACCTCTGCAACACAAGCAAAAACATTATCATTTACATTTCTCTCATACCTCTTTAAATTAATTTTGAGCATGTAATATAAAAGCATAAAAAGAAACACAACTGTCTTGACTTACTAGTTCCTAAAGTTTAACAAAACGCCACCTGGCCGGTATAAAAAGGCTTAAAGCAGCTTGTATGTCCAACAAGAATGGACATCCAAAAGTGATACTTTAACTTTAGATCTTTCCAACTTGAAAATCAGGATGCTCAATTCCTGGTATCATAGGACAAAGTTAACTTCAATCTGATTTTACAAACCATCTGTTATAAATCACCCTGTTTACAGACACGTCCAAGGGTCGATTTAGAATTTGTTTCTGGACATTCAAAATTACTGGGGTCAGGTTTTAGAGCAGGCCCTAGAGCCAGAGTATGTGGATTCAAATTCTGGCTGTAGCAATTTATTGGCTGTGTAATAAAAAGTCACTTGAGTTCTCTGTGCCTCAGTTTTCTCATCACACTGCCTACCACATAGACCATATATGTATGTAAAGCATGTTGCAGAGGAGCTGGAACACAGTAAGAATGCAGTAAATCTAGATATAATCAATCTTTCTCATTAGCAGCCACGAAAACCCAAATATTAGAGAGTACAAAAGGGGACTTAAGCAACTTAGATTATGTAAAAAGGCAATTTTATTTGTATGAATCCTAAATTTGTTTTTCTAGACTCATCCCAACAGTTTTGCAATGTGTATGGAGAAGAAGTGAAGCTGAAGAAGTTTAAATGCTTGCATCAAGTTTCCTCACTTGTTCTCTGGCTTACTCGCTAAATCACACCTCCTTGCACCACGATAAGGCACTACTTTGGTTTATTCTGCATCTGGTTTCTATGGGAAGTCCTACTTTCCTTCACTTTTTGCCACAGCTAGTTGCAAACTCTGAGTCTACATCTAATGTCTAGTAACATTTGTTGGAAAGGGAAATGACTTGCCTAAAACCAAGGTTTAAAACTCCTGGTTTCTTTTTGCTAAATTCAAGGAACCATTTCTACATTCCTAACTCTTGCCTATGTCAATTGGTTATTGCTCTGGGGCCTACTACCCTTAAATGGCTTAAGGCAAAGCATCTCAATTACCCAGTCTGTTAAAGGAAGTTGTAGATACTCCTTAAGTCCCTCTCTAGGCTGACTTTGCCCGTCAGGTCGCAGTTTTGCCACCATCTGCCCTCTGATTCAGGCCTTGGCACTTTACCCGATTTCCTCATTTACAAAGTCACAACTACAGTCTAAGTTAAGTTCATTTCACCGGGTGCCTCCCGTGTCAGGCGGCCTTTGGTACCACGGGACACCGCACCCAGCCCAGCTGGCCGGGAGGGGGCGGGGCTAATGCCCCCCCCAAGACGCCACCAAATGGTGGGGAGGGCGGTGTCAGAAGGCGGGGCCAACCAGGGTGACAGGTATGTTGTGTGGCGGTCCCAGTCGAGAAGTGTGCGTGGGAGGAGCCAATGGGGGCCACAAAGGGGTAGCCTGGTCAGGGACCGGGGAACATGGGAGTGTCCAGAAGAGGGCAAGACGACAGCAAGTGGATGGAGGATCAGGGCCAACGGTCAAGGAAACGGGACCAAAGGGGGACCACAACGGGGCAGCCGGCCATGGGGCGGGACCAACGACCTCAGGGACTTGACCAAGTGGGGAAAGCTCGGGAGTGAGACCGCCAAGCTCACAGGGAGCCAGTGGAGCCTGGGTTTAAGGCTGCTGGAGCCCGGCAGGAGTCCCGGGAATTGTACCTGGATAAGCGCCTTCACCTCCAGGTCGAATTTGACAATCTCTTGGTTACAGATACGGACGTGGACATCTTGGGGAGCCGCCATGTTGAGGACGCCGGCTACGGGCAGCGGCGGTGCCCAAATTTAACGCGTTTCCTCTTCGCGTTCCTTCTGCGCCCGGTCTTTCGGCAGCGCCCTCTAGAGACCGGACTGAGGCGAGCGAGGGTGAAGGCGGCAAGTCCTAGGGACTTCTGAAAACGCGGATGGACTCAGCCTCGCCTCTTGGTGTGATCCTAAGAAAACGAAGAAGAAAAAGAGAGGGAGTATCAAGGGCGTTTTTGCAGTGGCTTCTCCCCATCTTCTATCTAACGGCCATTCTAATGACTACATATTTTTTGCATAGAGGAAAAAAAAAGACTGGAAGGAAAGTATCAATTGGAATGTCTCTGGAAGGTGGAGTTAACAATTTTTTATATTTCTTTAAATTTTCTTATATTTTTCATATGTTGTACGGTGAATATAAACTGTGGAGCAAATGAAAAAATGAAAAATGTTATTACTACTTTTAATGTATGGAATTCGAGGCAGGTCTCTTAGAGCACCCCCTGTCAGTTCAACACGTGTCCCAAGGCTTCTAAAATCACAATTGATCAAGTCACCTCCCTGCCTACACCTCTTCTGTGGCTCCTGGCAATTTCCTTTTGTGTACAGTTGGATTTATTAAATCTACCTCGCTGGAGTAGTTTTGATGGAAATAATTAAGAGCAGACCCTCAACAAATGGTGGCTGTTTTATTTTTATTATTAAATAGTCAAAGTTTCTTAGCTGGTCTTCAACGCCATCAGCCACCTCACCCTGTCCCTCTCCTGGATTCCTCAAGTTCTTGGATCTGTAGCTTTGGAATGTGCTGTTCCCTTTTCTTAGAATGCTTCTCCGCTCTTGCTCCCACCCCATGTACTTTTGTTCACATCAGCAAGCATAAAGTATGAAGACCTGAATGCTTAGCTGTGTATCTCTTAACCCTTCACCACACTTGAAATAGGCAATACCCCAGTTTTATAGATCAGTAGATGGACTAAGAGTAGATCAAAGCAAAACAAACCCAAATTGAACAACCCTGCCCCAAGGTTACCCAACTTGAAAGTGGCAGAGCCTTCACTGAAAGCCATGTCTTCCCTCAAAAACCAAATATGGCCCCTTGGGTAGTGTTGTACACTTGGAGCTATGTAGCTTGCCCATCTGTGTTTCTCCAGTGCTCCACACACTGCCCCTTAAGGTGTTCATCATCCCACTGCACCTAATAGGCAATGTACTGCAGGCTTGGGAGTCGACCCTGCTTGAATCCTGTGGGACAACCCACTTCACACCTCTGTGCCTCAGAATCCTGAGGCTAACTGGTGGTAACCACAGGGTTGACTAGAGGATTAAATGAGGTAGTACATGAAAAGCACCAAGCACAGTGCAGTAATGTGGCATGTGTTTAAGAACTCAATGGGCATTAGCTGCTAGGACATGACGGACATTTTTGGAGCACTTCCTATGTGCCCGGCACTCTGTACTAAGTTCTTAATGTGTGTCATCTAACTTGACTCTCACGACAACCCTATGAAGTAGAATTATCCACATTTTACACGTGAAAAAAACAGGCACAGAGAGAATGACTTGCCCAGTGCAAACGGAAGGGCTAGTCAAAGGATATGTGCATTTTTAAAATTTAGATACATACTACCAGATTGCTCTTCAGAGAGGTTATATGAATTTATACTCCTCCAGCAGTGCGGTACAAATGCTTGCTTTCCCATGGCCTTCGCCAACGTGCTGTGTTAACAAATACTAGGACTTTTGCCAATTTGATTAAGTGAAAAATGCCATCTTTTAATTTGCATTTCTCTTATCATGAATGAGATTGAGTGCTATTTGTATTTACTTTGCTCATTTCTCTATTAGGTGGTGGTTCTTTATCATACCAGTTTCCAGGAGCTCTTTATATATGAGGAGGATTAGCCCTTAGAGATGAGCTTTTTGCATAGGCTATAGAATTTCGACTTCCCTTATGATGGTTTTGGCCTTGAAGTTTTTAATTTTTATTTCACATAGAATTTATCAATCTTCATTTATGACTCCTGGATTTGGGATCCAAGTTAGAAAACCCTCCCTACCCTCACCCCACAGGTTTTAAAGGAATTGCCCACATTTCCTTCTGTTATTTGTTCATTTATACATTTTGAGATATATATTGGCTTATTGTATGAGATACAGAGCCAACTTTTCTTTCTCCAGAGTTTCCCAGTTGTTCCAATCCTGTTTTCTGAAGAATCCATCTTTTTCTCACTGGTTCTGGATGCTACATTTACCTTAATAAATTCTTATTTCTAGACCTTCCATTCTGTTCTATTGGCCTATTTATTTATGCACCAAAATGACAGTTTTATTTATAGTTTTATGTGTTTTCATGTGTTTGGATTAAATGCCCAATCTTTTTTTTCCCCCAGCATCTTCCAGCTATTATTTTTTTCCCCTATGAACTTTTTTTTTTTAACCTCATTGGTATGTTTTGAGAGAGCATTACATTTTTAATTTAATTTTGACGACTGACAGCTTCATGTTGTTGGCTGCTCCGGTTCAAGAACTTGGGTCTTTCTTTCCATTTGTTCAAGTCTTCTTCTGTGTCCTTCATGTTATTTTAAAGTTTTCTTTATCTAGACCCTGTACATTTTAAGTTCATTCCTGGTGATGTTTTAAGACTAAAATCTTTTAAAGAAACTGACATCTTTCAGGTCACTCAAAAGTTTTGGATCCTCAGATAGAAGCTCCCTATTTAGGACACATGACCTTGGGCCCCTTTCACATCTGGCTTCTTGCTGGAAATTCCTATGTAACTGAGTCTCCACACAGTCTTTCTGCAACAGTTGAAGAAAACATACCTCCCTTTTTCTCCACCCTCCAGCATGCTCCCTTCTAACAAAGAGACCCAATTCTAAGCCCTTAAGCTAGAGGCCATCTTTGAAGGATAGATGTACAATGCGGTGACCCACGCTCTCAATCACTGACTACTGCCAATGTTCTTTTGCTTCTATCACCTTTACCCACAGATCCTGAGATTAGCTTTTGGTTACTACATCTGCTAGTTTTTGGCTTTAAATGTTTGTTTATATTTATTTATTTGATAGAGACACAGCGAGAGAGGGAACACAAACAGGGTGAGTGGGAGAGGGAGAAGCAGGCTTCCTGCCGAGCAGGGAGCCTGATATGGGGCTCGATCCCAGGACCCTGGGATCATGACTTGAGCTGAAGGCAGATGCTTAATGACTGAGCCACCCAGGTGCCCCATAGTTTTTGGCTTTAGTTCTGGTTTTCAGATTCCAAGCCCATTATCTCCTACACAGATATCCATTCAAATATTGCCTGTGACCTGGCCTGGTCCTTTAGGAGTATGAATTGTCTCTGAGTGCAGGAGCAGACTGGAGTTTGAATTGGGGGTATCATATAAGCTGGGTCTGCAGTGAGTCCCCTTATCTGAGTCTATTCTCTTTTGTAAAATGGACATGACCACCCACCTCACTGCACCACTGAGAGCTGAGTTACTTGAAAGGAAAGCACTAGCAGGGGTTTAATGAATGCCAGCCACCCCAGCCTTCTAGACTTCCTAACACCCTTTTCTTATTCTAAACCTTTCAGCTGGGATATTAAAGCATTTCCCAACTTTATGTCTTTCTGGCTAAAGAGCTCTCCTGGTTCTGAACCACTGTGGGTGAGGAGAGGCAACTGAATGACCCATTTAACTAGGTGCTACCCACAAAATGTTGTTTCCTAAGGACTATACTGACCTGGCTCACCCAGCTCCTTAAAGTTCCCAGACCATGATGGAGGCTCCTGTGAGGGGTGGTTTGGATGGAGGTCAAGTCCATGAGAGGCTATCTCCACTTCAGCCCCAATGTCACTCAAATGAAGCAAAAAGAACTTCAAGAATCCTGGGATGTCATGAACACAAGCCTGTCGATTCTTCTCTAGCATACCCTACTGGATGTGGTACCTGTGTCCTTGCAAGTATCTCAGCAATAATGTACCCAGAACCCTTTGCATGTGTAACACCTCATGTCTTATTCACATGCTGCCTCCCCTCAGCAAACTGTGAGTTCCTGGATTCTCTCTCTACCTAGCACAAGTCTTGACAAAATATATGCTAAACAAATGTTTAGCATTTGAAGTAACACACTGCTTCAGTGGTGTTCACTCAGGTCCCCTAAGTAAGACTTTATGTATATGGGGGCACCTGGGTGGCTCCGTTGGTTAAGCGTCTGCCTTCGGCTCAGGTCATGATCCCAGGGTCCTGGGCGCCCTGCTCAGCAGGGGAGAGTGCTTCGCCCTCTGCCCCTCCCCCTGCTAGTGCTCTCTCTCACTCTCAAATAAAATCTTAAAAACAAAAAAAAAAGATTGTGTATATGTCCAGCCTATCTCAGAGACTTGCTTTGAATTATTAAACACGTACAAATGTTTAAGTCAGGAGAGACTCAAAACAGTTTATTTCCCTTGCTTAACCAAAGAATCAAAGAGGAAAAAATACGTGTAAACTAAACTTTGCTCCAAACTATGAAGAATGCAAATGTTTTCATCAATAAATAATTCTCCATAATACTACCTTTCACTAGAGTATTGAAAAATCAGCCCAAAGTGTCCAAAATGTTAGCTCTTTATGTCCTGCACCAAGAGGGGGGCAGCACAATTCACGGTTCACAGCTGTCTTTAGTCTGGAATTTCTTTGCAGTGGGTTATCTTGCAGAGGCGCAGATGGTTACCTTGGTAAGCAAAAGAAAAGCAACAGAGAAGGGGCGAAAACATGAGGCAAACAATTCAAAACCTTTTCATCTTTTTTTATTTTAAATTACAAAGGATGTTGCATACACTGATGAATCTGTATCTGACTAGAAGTGCTGAGGGGTTGGAAGGTGACAGAAAACAAAGGCAACATTTGAATTGCCTTTTCTTCTGAAAAGAAAAACTGCACAACTATTAACCAACATTTAATAGAATAATTTTTAAACAGCTCATGCGTCAACAAGATAAAATTCTTTCTAGACAAAAGACAAGACTGAATCCAATAAAAAGTTTCATAGCTCCAGTTGGGGGAATGGGGAAACAAAACTACAGAATATTTATGATAGCATTACAAACAGGATCCTACGCCACTATGCAAAAGAGGTTGC